TGTTAACTAGCAACTTCTGCAGCAGCCCTAATTCGTGTTACAAGTAGTAACATCAAGGAAGTGATCTACTGCTGAGATGAAGATCACTGGGCCATATTTATCTGCCAGTGAGACGAGGATCATTGACCCATGTATATCTGCCAGTGAGACGAGGATCATTGACCCATGTATATCTGCCAGTGAGACGAGGATCATTGACCCGTGTATATCTGCCGGTGAGACGAGGATCACTGGCCCACGTATAGCAGTTACTTAGACAACGTGAGGAACACATCCAAGAGGCGTAAGGAAATACCATCCTGAGGGATCCGTGTTGCAAGATGAAATTCTAGGCAAAGAAAGTTCCCTGGGCCTCCCTCAGATGTACTCAAGTGGAACAAGAGAAGGTTCTAGGTCATGCATTCATTAATGATTAAGCTGCAGTGTCCCCTGAAGCGCTCCAGCTTGGCCATCTCCCAAGGTTCTTTGCCATAGTAATAACCAAGAAGAAATTCTGGAGCTTTTTTCTTTTGTTGGCATTTATGATAATTTTTTAATATGTGCTAACAACACAAATGTATCATAAATACATTTTACGCAGCTAGATATATGTGCAAATGTCATTTAGAACTTGTCCCTAAACTCCTTGCTACGTGCAGTTATATGTGCTGTTTATCAGAGCAGTCCTGTGAGTGAGATGTTATTATCCCACATGTTGGATGACAAATCTGATACTGTAAATTACTGAATAATTTACCCGGATATCACCCGCCTAACAAGTGGCGGGACTGGGATTCAACCCCCATAGTCTGTTGCTGACTGTGTGGCCTTTTCCAGGTCAATCATTTGATTCTCTCTGGACTTAGTGTCTTCAACCTAAAATGGGAAAATCATCCTTTTTCTGTGTATAGTGCAGAGTTCCAGGAAAATCAGAGGTGATATATGCGAAACTACCTACATACAAAAGTGTAGAGTATCGGAGAGACCTGGAATGTTCCTGAACAAAGCACTAATGTATAACGAGCACTTTAGGAGTCCAGCAAGTTTCTTCTCGATCGCCCTTTCCCCCTTCCTTCCCTGACAAGACCTATGACTATGGATCTTATCAGAGGAAAACAACTCAATTATTGGGCCAGATACAGAAAGGAAGAAGCTATGTGAATTTCCATGTCTTCCTGGCTTCTGTGTGAGTTCTCAGACTGTTTTTGAAGAACACACCCACTTCTTAGTTGAAATATAAGCACCTGCATCGTTATAAGTTCTTGTCCTACGGTTCTGGTCATTGCGTTATATCTGCTCTCAAAGGAGGTGTGTGTGTTATACTGGAATTGGAAGGTGCCACCTTCAGTAAGTGGAGCACAGCTGAGAGGCAGGACTGTCCCTGCTCTGGCTTCACCTCCAATCTGCGTGGCCCTGGGGAGAACAGCATAATCCAGAGATGTGCCCAGCCCAATGAAATCTCCACTGGACAAGCCACGCCGTCCCTAGGCAGGCTGTCCAGTGCAACTCCAGCCCTACCAGCATGGCTCTAAGTGTTTCCAATGGCAGTTCAAAATGGCCCAACATTAGAAACAAAATACCCCCACTGTTCATTTTAAAAGCAGTATGTCGATGCAAAATCAAGTACACGATCGGAATGTAGGAGTGCTCTAAAGCTTTTGAAGTCCTTGTCATCACTCAATGCCATCTTTAAAAGGACAGCCCAGGGAGCATGAACACAGCTGAGCCAGTGTTCCGCAAGGAGAGGTGCTTTAGGGTCCTGTAGACTCGCCCTCAACACCCAGGCAGGCTCCGACGCCCACCGCAGACTGTGCGCTCTGCCATTCAGAAGCCCGCACTCTGCCATCCAGAAGCCCACGCCCTTAGACTGCATTTTTATGTCACTGAGACTCCCAGCTCAGGAAGCCTTTTCTTCATCTTCCGATGATAAAATCCAGCTACGCTTGTCTGCTAAGCCCCGCTGACTGACGCGCAGCCGTCTCCTCTCCGCTGCTCCTGCATGCTGGGGCACGGTGGCCATAAGGGGACCTCAGCCCTCTCTGAAGCTGGGTTCTCCTGAGCGCCTCTCCAGCCCCTCACGAGGTCACTGGGCACCAGGCCACACAGGGCACATTCAAAGCATGAGACCCTGAAGCCCAGCTGGATTCTCCTTCCCAGACCCACTTCCTTCTGACCCTGCTCTCCGTAAAGTTTTCTCAATTAGGAAGGGTCCCCAGTTGCTGTATCATAAGTGTCTAAAATTGGCTGTGCTGAAAATATTTATAATGAGGCGGGGCTCCTGGGTGACTCTCTGGAACTCTCCAGAAGCAGCTAGAAGCCCTGCTCTCTTATTCCAGAGCTCTGTGTGCACTGCAACCAAGGCTCAGGGCACCCACTTCTGAGCAGAGCACGATGTCACTCTGAAGTGTCTGTGGCACCACACTGTGAAACTGGGCTTCTCAAACTTGACTTGGGGAATAGCGTTTATAGCATGTTAGGATATCAGAGTTGACCAATTTTGGGGGGTAAATTTTATTTCAGTTTCTTGTCATTGCCAATTTTCACTCTCTCAAGAATAAATTTGTGCAGGAACCCAAAAGTCATTCAGTCCGTGGGATTTCCCTGTCATTATTCAAACCTCCTCTAAAAGCTTCTGGGACGATCTGGCAGCTACCGTCATAAGTGCCTTTACAACATTTCCACGACATGTGTGTACATGTGGTATACACGTATATAAACACATCAGGTATCGTGTAAACTCTTTCCCCAGTATCTAGGTGCTTTTTATCTTGTCCAGTCTTATCTCTACTAGAAGAAGCTGGCATTGGCGCCATCCTGTCAATCTTATTAAGACATCGATCTAGTGGTATGTTAGTCTCTAGTAGACAATACTTTCCTAGTTCAAGTGGTTATACTCACCAAGTTTCCCAATCCCTAGATTTTGTTGTTCCAAAAAAATAAATAAAATCTCCAAAAGAAAAGCAAAATCTCCATGCCTTCGCTGCCCCCCTGGGCCACACCTGCTGGTGGGAGCCGTTTCCTCCTGGAGGCCGGATGTCTACGGGAAGTGGCGTGACACGGGGGTAGCTGGGGGACAGGACCAGAGGGGACACTATGACTGCTGACAACCTGGGCTGGTCCCACTTCCCACCGAGGGTCATGCCTCAAAAGTTCCTGAAAACAAGGCAGAGAGGGATGTCACAGTAAGCAGGGGGCAGTATCCCAGGATCAAAATTAAGAATCCGTGCATCAAGCACCGTCCGCCTTGACAGATCACAGCTGCCTTCGATCCCGTGCTGTGTCTGGTTTTAACGTTAGTCAAATGACACTGCCTGTGTTGCCAGGCACGTGTTTCTGTCAGTGGGTCTCCATTTGTACATTTCTCC